CAATCATGCAAACAGTTTAACTGCTTGATGTCCAGGAGTAAAGAAGAAGATTTTTAAACATTGCATTAATTTTTGTGGTTTTTGCCCCACCCCCAGGCCCCAAGGATGCTTTGTGCCAAATTTGGTTGAAATTGGTTCAGTGGTTGCAGAGAAGAAGCTGAAAATGTTGAAATGTTAACGGACAACTCACAACGCACGACGCACGACGACGGACGAAAACAGATAGCAATAGGTCACCTGAGATTATTCAGGTGACCTAATAAATGCAAAGACTAACCCTAATCTTTTGGATATTGGTGCGAGACTAACACTTATCAGTCGAAAAATAACCATAAGATAGATATCTTGGCTGGGTGCAGGACTAATCCAAATCAGTTTAATAGCGTGCGAGGACTAACCATAAAATCTCTTGGGTGAGTTCAAAGAAACACATTGGTGTTCAAGAACTAACCCAATCAATCATAAGGTGTACAAGGACTAACCCTAATAGCTCTGCTGGGAGAAAACAATAAGCAAAATCAGTAAAATTGTAAGCGGGACAAATACTAAATCAATGGATTTTGAATGCAGAATAACGTCATGACGTTGGACTTTTGTTACGTCATAAACGTTAATTGTTCCTCCACACCATCAGACTTTGATGTGTCAGACCATCGCACTTTAGCGTCGCGCGTCTCATAGAAAACGAGCCATCGTACTTTGGCGTGACTATCGGACATTGGCGTCCGTAAAGACAACGAGCCATCAATGTTTGGCGCAGACCATCGGGGGTTGGCGAAACAATCGGACTTTGGCGTCACCATCGGACCTTGGAGTCTTACATATATAATATCTGGTATGGATGTTTTTTGGCTTGCAGAATTCCGATGAATAATAATTCATTGAGAAGCATAAATTTGTTATTATATTTTTGGTGTATTTCTGACCATTCAAAGGATTAATTTATCCCGGAAATGGCAAGTTATTTTTCTGATAACCATAAACTCTAGTGAGGCCCCCGAAAATAGCAAAATAACCATTTGAATTCATCCTTGAAAATATTTACCAATTCAAAAAGATAGCATCAAGGCAAGAAAAGCAACGTAATTTAACTATAAAAATTCAATTCTCCTAGCTTTTACATTTAAACTTACTTTAGAAAACATAATTTTTAGATATATACAGGAATTAACACACATCGAGAACGTTTTTATAATGATATAATAAAAATCCCCCAAAAAGGGACAACAATTTACATCTGAGTGAATAATACTTCAACCTTCAAAAATATCTATAAATTCATTTAAAAAAAACTTCCCTTTTCAACACTTTTTAGGCAACAGACACCTGATAAATGGTTGCTGTAACAACCCCTTCCTTCTGAGATTTTTTTAGGCAATAACTTTGGAAATACAAATGAACTTTTACTCTATCATGCCATTACTTCGATATTTAAAGTCATTTTCCATTTCTGTCAATTTGTTAATTTTTAGAAATTACCTTTTTACGATAGATAAAAATACCACGATACAAAATCTTGTTAGTACACAGGTGTCCTATTTCGAGGGAGATATTAATACGAATACAGAATTACTAAAGAAATTAATGCAAAAGGCATATCAGTGAGATTGTTGTTTTAAAAGTCATTTTAGCGTGAAATTTCAAATGTGTTAATATTGCCCATCATTCTTAGAAAAAAATGTAATATGTAAACTGAAAACCTTTCATAATCCAACATTTGTTTTTTTTTATTGGCAAAAACACCAAACCCTCCTACAATCACCACATGTAAGTGCATGTAGAAAAGGGAAAACGATTTTACATGTGCCAATTTTCGGTAAGACGAGCACTTCTCATTTTAGTAACTCAATTTTTATGCAACAACCCCCGTTTTGTTAAGGTATTGTTGAAACCAACATACGACAAATGACATTTTAAAGGTTTTATAGGTCAGAGGCAATTTAATTTAGTTCTTATGTTTTACAAATTAAATCACCCCTATTTTGATGAGAAGTGAAAAACCAGATATCTAAATCTCTAAGCAAGCGTCCCTTTTCGTGCCAATTTTAAAAGTAGGAATAAAACGTTAAACTTTTGAAAAAAATGCAAATTATTTATCCAGGATAAAATTAAAAATATTTCCAATTATGAATGGAAACCTTTTAAAGTTTCTTTTTCTGACAGGAGCTAGAAAAATGATTTTGTTTAGGATCTAGATGACAAATATGGAAACTTACTGTATAAAATGTAATAAAGAAAAATATGCACTGTAAAATCATAAATCTTCGTCGGGGTTAAATTCTCGTTGTTTTCAAGCTACGAAGAGGCCCACGAATTTATGTTCACTACGAAATGTAAAATTTCTTATGCATTATTACATAAAATTTTCAACTACGAAATCGAATCCCCACAAACCAATAATTTTTACTCAAACCTCGAAAATTTTACCCCAACGGAAATATGATGTTACAGTTTCTTTGCTGAAATAGTCTTAGAACATTTTAATATACATGTAAATATTGTTTTCCTTTAAGGTTTCGTCAAAGGTCAACATGTCCCAAAATTTATTTTTACAACAGCCCCAAAACTATGTGAGATATAAAGTTAAAACTTTTACTGTTTATAAATCTTTCATTGCTTCACAGATAGAAAGTATCACTTGGTAAAAGAATACTTGGAAAAATATCAATTGAGAAAAAATCTTTTTAAAAATGCATACATTTTCAAAAAACACAACTAATTTATTCCGTGCTCTTAGTGAACACTATCATTGCAGAAACAAATATGTTTATCAATGAAGGGCAAGTTGGACTTGGATAGCCTCTGGAAAGTTGTTTTCCCTGTTTATTTTGTCCAAATGTTAAGACTTGAAAGTGAAAGTACATTGCAAATGGCGGATTCTATAGAGGCCTTGTCTTAATACATGTCATGCTTTCAATAACAGCCTTTTAGAGACCATTCACGTCCAACTTGCTCTTCAATGATAAACACATATTATTTCTGCAATGATGGTTTTCACAAAAAGGCCAGAATTAAGCAGGTCCATTTTTCTTCAAATATGCACATTTTCTGAAACAATTTTTCTCAAAAACTATCTTATTTAAACTATTTGTTATCAAGTGATACTTTCTAAATATTAATCAATGATATATTTATAAACTGTAAACATTGTGACTTTATACCACACATAGTTTTGGAGCTATTATAAAAATATTTTTTAGACAATGTTGACCTTTGACCAAAACCTTAATGGGGATAAAATAGTTTGTAGTATTAATGTAAGGTATACTTAAACTTTGATTTCGGTATTTAAGCTGAAAAGCTCTCAGAAATAAACACTTCGTATCATAAGGTTGCTTGATATTACCTGTATGTATTCGATTAACTAGAATATTCCTACCAAAAGGAATGTTTTTGCATTAAAAAATGACAAGGAATCATTATTCTCAGAGTCATTTTTCTACAATGCACACGGAGAAAAACAATCCTAAGGCCATAATTTCTACAAAAATGACATTTATCTACGTAGAATATTGACCAGGGGGTCAAATTTCTACGTAGAAAAATGACCCACGGTCAATATTCTACGGAGGTCACTTTTCGTCGTTACAATGGCTTTGGCATTCATATTGCACGTGTACGAGAATATTTATTAAGATAAGTCTTTTTTCAAAGTAACAGAATTGTACTTGACTTAGGACTTTGTCGAGCGTGTAAGAAATTTAACCTTCGTCAAAATATGTCCTACGGGGGCATCAGTGTTAATAATTAGTCTTATCTGCAGTACTTACCTCTTTTATATACCACTCATTTAAGTAGAAGTTCAAGAAAAATAAAATATTTATATTACGTTTGATTACAGCCATTTGTAGCCCGTCCTGCAAGAACGGAGGGATTTGTTCCCAATCAAGACAGTGTATTTGTCCGCGTACCTATCAAGGGATCGACTGCAGAACGCGTATATATCTGTTTAATTTCTATTTTTAGTTTATGTTCTTTTAGAAACATTGTTCATAAGTCGTTACCAATCTGACCTTTAATATATTTGATAGTTTATATAATTGAGGAATTTTAAAAATTTTGTATTGTTTTTTTTTGTCACGTAGTATAACAAAATTAATAGTGAAACTCAATTTTATATTCAGAGCAAATACTATAATATAAATACATTTACATATTAGTACTTGAATAAATTCAAAATTAACAAAAATTGATCTAAAGCAACACAATAAAAAAGTTCATTATCACTGCATGAAGAATAATGTTATGAATTTTTTATATGATGTCATGTTGATAATACTACAACATTTCGTTCTTAGCTGTTTGCAATCCACCTTGCCAAAATGGTGGTACATGCATTTACCCTAACGTTTGTTCATGTAGGGAGACTTATACAGGATTTCATTGCGAAACGGGTTAGTTTTTTTTTTTATAATACAACTATGTTTTTGTAACGAATTCAACATATGGAATTTATCATGAAAATGGTCTAAAATAAACTACAGATAGGTTACTTTCTTTCTGATTTAAGTCAAGCGTAATGTCAAATGACAATTTCAAGTTTTATAATTTCTTATCTAATGTCCATTCTCTATGAAATGTTGCCATTGCGCATAGTTATAAAATACCTTTTATTTTTCTGCTCAGCCATGTGTTCCTATCATTCCCCATGTTTTCCTGGGACGTGTAGAGACTCCATTAATTGTCAATGCTATGAAGGATTTTCTGGTAAAAATGGAACTCAGCGATGCAAGACAAGTAGGTTGAACAATGATGTCTTAGACATAATTTAAGTTTAATTCATTATGTTATGTTCTTTAATGAAAAAAAAAAGATGAATAACATTGTGATAAAGAATTTTATTTAAGTCAAAGAATCAAGTCATATGATATTTCTTTATACTGTTATAAAACTTAATGCAAAAAAATATTAATTCTAAATTGAACAGTGTATAAAAAGTGAAAATTTGTAAACTGTCAATCGGAATCTTTTTTGACATTGCCTATATAAGTTTTGCAGACATGGCGATTGCATTACGTATGTGCTAAATTATGTACAAAATATGAGTATTCAAATGCGTCAGTAATTTTACCACACAATTTACACTGAGCCTCAATTTTACCATTTCTTTACAGTGCTTTTAGCAAGACGTCCAATAATAACTCAATGTATGTCCGTTCTTGCTAATATTGAAAGAACTGGACAGAAGAGAGAGCTCTATCGTTTTATAACGGATTCATCCGAACCAAACTCCACAAGAGTAGATACGTTATGGCTTAACCAAAAGGATTACAATTATATTAACGTCACATTCGCCGCCTATTATACAGGACCAGAGAATCTAGCAGTTCCAGAATATGTCAAACGGTTCAAATTTGGAATTACTTCAGGGAAAATTCAGATTGAATTATGGAAAGTTGATAGAGAGGGTAAGATTTTCTTGTGTAGACATTAGTCTCTATCCGTTTTAACTGTTAAAATTCAATATGTTGTATTATCTTTCTGCTTTTTGTCTTCTTAAATTTTTTGTTTAAATATGGGTCAATTTTCCATTGTATATGACTTACCTCCAGAATTCTCTAGAAAATATCTTGAATCGGAGTATAGTGTGAATGAAATGTAAAGTTAACTTATCTGCAAAAATGACAATTTTTTCTTTACGGTTTTAGATCAAAACAAACCTTTTGTGAGCCAAAATGAGACCCAAAGCTGTCTTTTCGAACCTGGATCACGTAATCCAAATGACAATGTTTTTCAGTGTAACTTCACGGATGAAAATTTTGACAGGCTTTTGGAAAACGGCGACAAGTAATTAAAAAAATATTCAGATAAATATTTAAGGATTGAATTAAATAGCAACCTTCTTAGTAATACTGATTTATACTGGGTTGGACCAGTTTACGCTTTTTTATAAACTTTAAAGCGTAAACTGACCCAGCCCAGGTTTTATCAGCCTAACATTGGATGCTATCTAATTCAATCTCTATGGTTGTATTCTTAAATTGTGAAGTAAAGAAAAAAGACAATTTCTCCTTAACGTCAAGCGGATTGATACATTTTTGACGTCAGTCATTGTTACGTAGGCAACACAGGTTATATGGTATATATTAATTGTTTTTCCAACCAAATAACGCGTTACAACCAAAATAGAAATTATATACACATTATTAATTAAGATGACTTCTATTGTTGTTTAAATTTCATGGATATTTTGATTAATTGGGCTATAATAAGAATTGTTATATTTATGTTATTAAGACGCTACCTTCTTCGTTAATTCCATTATATTTTAATGTCTTTAAACAGTTTAACATTAACTGTTATTGCTGAAAACGGAGGATATCGAGAACTTGAAGGACCGGGAACTCTGAAAAAGGAAGATTTTTTTATCGGCCAAAAGGCCTCAAAATCAACAATGTTTCGTTTTGATTTCGAGAAACCTCACCATTGCCCTCAAAAGGGAGACTGTGCAGAAAAAGCTTTGGATGTAACAGAAGATATAACAAAGGTTCTTTATGATATATATATTTTGATTTTCTTTCGTATTAAATATTTCAAACCGTCAACAATATCAATATCATTCCTTTTTTTTAAAGTTATGTGTTGACATTCTAAGAAAACGAGAAATATGTTCCCGATATTTCACATATATGCAATAACTTCGCATGTTTAAAACAATCTTTGGCTCAAAATAATGATATTATATTTTGTTATATTTTTTTTATACGAAAGTCCCCGATAACATTAATTTGGAACAACTGGATGGATGATCTCTCAGGACTAAAAGGGTACAAACTACAGGTTTATTTGCTAAAACCGAATACAACATACCTTACAGAGCCCTATCCGTGGAACCCACTTGAAGAGATAGTCATTAACGACAACAATGTCAATTATAGGTATAGGTACACCCCCCAAAAGGCAGGGATGTATTCCTTTATTTTAAACGTAATAGACAAAGCCAACAATACACAGTACGCCCGCACCCTTGTCTTGTATGATCCTTCATCAAGCATCACTCTGTCGACTTCACCGTTCATTGCGACAAGTGCAGAACCAGAGACAAACTACATGTGGCAAAATAATCTCAAAAATAACATTACAGTATCATGGAAAGGACACTTTGAAAACAAATTTCACGACACAAATAAACTTCTGAATCAGGTTTCACATTATCAACATTTTGATCATATTACCAAATACGAAAAACAGGTGCCAGAGCAACTGGATGATAAGTCGGGGAAAAGAACCCTGTTACCTATACAAAATATTCATGGTATAGTTAAATTTGACTATTTCTATAGGAATGGAAACCAAGGTAACAGCACTCCCGATCGCGAGTCATGGTTTTCAGTAAAAAATATATTTTCAGAAAGTCAAACATTCTATATAGACCGAAAAGATGGAAATGCGATAAATTTCTGGGTCAGAGCAACTGACGTCATGGGGAATGAAAAAGTAGACATGACAAAGATATTCTTTGATTCCACTCCACCCGGAGCATTGGCAGACTCAGATGTGAAATTTACACGTAACACTAAATCACCTACCTATGACTTTTCGAGTCGGTAAGAAAAAAGTCTTCTTATGAAATTTTTGCATTGTCCTTTTCATACATATTCACAAAAAACCTAAACCTTCAGATTGCAGGTAGATGCAATTGATAGAAATAGCGGAATTTATAAAGTCTATTTGGAGCTACTAGCAAACAGCAGCAACGAATTATTCCATGAAACTGATATCAAAGGGAATAAATCTGAAGTAAATGTTTTATTTTCATTTCTTTTTTAAGTTAACAATGTTCTGAGGACCTTTTTTTTGAAAAAAGACATTAACATGAAAAAAAAGATCATATTGCTTGTTTATTGGCCTAATAGAGGGGTAAAAAAAACAATTGATTTTTAATGTATTTGTAAGATGTAATAGCGAAAGAAAAAAATGAAACTGGGTCACTTTTTTCGGAAAAAAAATTACAACTAAAAATGAAATGTAATTTTCGAATGACGTTTTCCTTTGCAATACATGTAATTGAAAGAAGTCATTTTATAAATATTTAACTTTTGAAGTTCATCGATTTTTTGATAAGCTAGAGAGAACTCTTAAATACAAATATCATTTCTCTCTAAAAATGACACATTGAAATGTCTTTTATGTCGAGTTTTGCTCTACATGCAAGTTGTTAAGTTTGTATTTTACTTAAATAATACATTACATTTGAAAAAAATAAGAGTTCAAGCAATATTTCATGTGAGTGAGCAGAGGGTTTATGAACCCCAAAAAATCATGATAATCATTTTTTTTTTATTTTAGGTTGATGTTAGAATAAAAGGATACCAGATAGAAACGGGAGATTACTATTATTTTAGTCATTATTTTGACATCAACAATTGTTGGATGGTGGTGTCGAAGGAAAAATTCGCTAATGAGTTTCTTTTGTTAAATTTGACAGTATATAACAACGCAATGGAAACTACCCATTATAGTAAGATGGTAAGGATAATTCGTGTGATTGCATGATTGACATATATTAACACATATTACATACTATTATAGAATCTATTTTTTTTCTTCAAAATAATAAACCTTTATTTTTGTGTTTCACGACTTTTTACAGATTACAGATTTAGCTTCACTTGACGGCATAGATGAGTGTAAGTTATGTTATCAATTTTTACAGTTTTTATTTTTTATTTGTATGTAGAAAATTACAATGAACAATATTGTAGATTTAAGCTGTATAATGTTCAGTTGACACAGTACAAAAATATACGATATAATAACTGTGCAATATAATTTGCATGCATTCAACATACAAACTGTTATTTTTCAGACACTGGCCCTAAAAATTTGACTGTGATAGAGACCTATGACAACAGTGTTCGTCTGAAATGGATCGTATCTCCAACTTGTTACAAAAGGTCCAAGATCACCCTGCAGTTCCGCTCATCTAATGGCCGAACAGAGAACCGATTTATCGACAAGGACGCAGACTGGGTGGATCTGACTGGACTGAATCCAGAAACAAGTTATAACCTGTCTTTTATCACAGAGTATGGACGTCAGAGAAGTGATCCTGTGTTTCTGCATTTTAAAACTAACAAAGCACGACCAGCGTTGACAGTTGCTGCAATAGCAGGAATGTCCTCAGGTAAAATTACGTCGTTAACCTAAACAAAGAAAAATTATGATATTAGATGTACTAAATTAGATCATAAATAAATAAAATTTAAAGAATTCTTCTTAATAAATTCCTTAAAATATAAGCATTAAACATGTGTTTTTTAATTTTTTCTCCCGAAATAAGAATTTGTCTTAAAAACAATTAATGTTTTAAAAACCAACTTCCAAAATACATGTATCAATGTTTTTTTCTTTCCAAAAATCATTTTAGGGTTTTTTATACTTGTTGTCATAATTGTTGTGATGGTTGTCCTATGGCGACTTGGACGTTTGTCAGTTGTACGTGAAGACATTCGACGCCGGGCGACTGTAATTCGAAGGAATATCACAAACCGATTTTCAGCGGTACGTACTGCATTTTCGCCCCCGTTTAATTTTCGTCCCCTCGCCTCGGCGAATTCAAAGTTAATAGTATGATATCTTAAACAAAAATCTTTCTGGGCGAATCTGAAACGGGGCAAATATGTTTCCAAATTTGAAAGGTCGAAATTATAACGGGACGAAAATTAACCCTGTATACAGTAATTAAATCATTTCTACTAAATTAAGGGTCGTTCATTTTGCACGTCTAGCTGTTCATTCAGTGTTCTATTAAAGAAGTCTGTTATTATTTTATTTGCATGATTGTGTTTTTTTAAAGAATCCCAATCATGATGTAGATGACATTTATATATACGGCCAAATGGAACTCAGTAATACTGACAGATGGATTTTACCGAGCTCTAACATTGTGTTGGATGTCTTGCTAACAAGCGGAAGATTTGCAGACATATATAAGGCCAGATACCAAAAGCAAAATAACAAAGCTAAACAAATTGTTATTGCAAAGACTTTGAAAAGTATGTTTTTACAATGTAGTTTGATTATAGTAACTCAGTTTAATTTTCATTTGAATAGCAATTATAAATTAACTCTAAATGCATGAAAGCTTAATAATTTTGAAATACCGCTAGAATAAATTAATATGATTATTAAAGTTTATATCTCCATTGTATATGTCCTTGAAGATTAATGAAAACCATGACCGTTCATCATAACTTTAACGTCGCTTTACAAACCTTGTAAAGTTCCTTGAGCAAATACTTTCATCCTCAAAATATACCCAGACGTACATATTATAAAATTTACCCATACGTAGATATTATTAACTTTTTTTGATAGTAAGAATGACTTAGGTATTTTTATTTTTAAATTCTTAGTCCACAGACCAATGAAAGCATCTCAATGTTTCACTAACGCTGTTATAAATTGCAGGATGAATCTGGTTTACAGTTCTATGAACTTTAAAGTTCTCAAAAGAAACAGGGTTTTTAGATTAAATTAATTACGCTGAACATATCCCTTTGTTCGATACACGATACCAATTTTAATTTTATTTGTTTCGAAAATTTAATTCCTACTTTCATACCGGTTTTTTATTCTTTGCATCGGTATACTTGGACTGAAATTACCTACATGCAAAATAACCAACTTAAAAACAACATATTATTGACAAACTTTTCATCGTTCATTCCTGTCTGCTTGACAGAAATTTTAGACATAATAAAACAAGGAATAAAAATTGTTGCAAAACCTATATATTAAGGTTGAGGTTTAAAGAGACACATTGATATTTTGCATCAATTTGTATTCCATATTGAATCTAAATAAACTCTAGCAATAATTTATCAATCATTTAAAAAAATATATATATAATTTGAATTCTGGTTGATTTAAACACAAATCATTTAATTTTAGGTGGATTCACTGAAGAAAATATGCTGATGATGAGAGCAAAAATTAATTTTTTTGGCAAAGAAGTTGGGGAACATCCAAACATTATCCATTTCATCGGCGCTGTCATCGATAACGATGCGTGTAAGTTATGTGTAATCCATTGCCCTGACTAAACTTATATTTGATGTGGATATATACTTAGTTATCGACGACAAATAAATAGAGACAAAGACTTTGATGAAAGCTATACTTTCAATTTTGTTTAATAAATCGCACGAATTAGCAGGTTCTATACTCAAAGACAAAAACAAGATCAATAAAGTTGATCATTTAGATATATTGAGCTTGAAGACTGCCAGCTACATGTATAACACTAAGACATATGTACAGAATAAGGGTTGTCCTAAACAATATAAGACAGCTTAAATAATTTAGTTTCTATTTGCTTTTATTTTTCAACGTGTAAAAAACATAATGTGTTAACGATCATTAAGTTTGAAACAAACCGCACACTTAAAAGAAAAAATATATTTGTACTAAAATTAGAAAAGTATAATTATGTGTATGAACGCACTAGGGAAAACGTATTTTATATCATATTATAACTTCTTTTAAAAAAAAACATGTAATAATGCGAATATTACTGATTTTTTATTATAAACAAACAACACCTAACAAAGTGAAAAGATATCCAACAATGATCTTTCAAATTCTAGACCAAATTCAAATGTATGTCCATCTATAATGTCACTAATAAGGCGATAATCCGAATTTTACAATGTTCTACAAATATGGCTTTCTACCGCCACAGTAGCTCAATCGGTAGAGCTCTCGATCCTTGATCTGAAGGTCGAGAAAAATTAGATAATGACCGTTTTTTTGCCAGAAGCTCGGTAGATAAATGTGAAAGTTTCGGCTCTTTCCAATGAGACTTTAAAAATCAAAGCCCCATGCCACGGTAGGCGTTGACAAGACGAAGATGCCGCAATTTTTATTAGCCCTGAACGCTGAAAATATGTGGCCATTCATCGATATATAGTGATTCTCGATCAGGACTTAAATACAACATTTAATCCATCAATCAATCTTACTAGGCTTTCTATCTTGGAAGGTGAAGTTTTAAAAATTGTCTTGAATCGCAGTCAAATTATAAACAAATAATATACAGTATCGACATTGTGTATTATGTCAAAAGGTTAAAAGGGATGTTTAATGTGGCAAAATTAGCATGGGAATAATTAGGTGGAATTACACATATAAAACATTTTTTAACCTAATATTACGTTTGATTATCATTGTTTTGCTACAGTTGGACCATACATGGTTTTTGAATACTGTACAAAGGGACAGCTTCGAGACTGGTTATTACAACAGAGGAATGAATCAACAGACGACACGGTGGAATCCTTATATCGAATTATTTACGGAATTTCGAAGGGAATGTTCTACCTTGAGACAAAAAAGGTAAATAGGAAATAAAGAAAAGGACAAAAAAATCAATTTACTGCTGAATGTAAGCTGTATTTGTAGTGATAATATCTTTGGTATTAGTTAAAGAATACATAATCACTGTTGTATTTTATAAAATGTTATTCAGCTGGTGCACAGAAGACTTGCAGCACGAAATGTTTTACTGACTGATGAACTAGAACCCCAGATCTATGGATTTGGACCAGAGCCCCCCAAACACCAAGGCAACGAAGAGGACGGAGATGGTACATCTGAAGACAAGGTTAGATCTCAAAGATTGATAGAAATAGTCAGAAGGTGTAAATGAAGGTTATCATAATAATGAAGTTAAAAAAATAATTAAATAATAAAAATACAAAAAATATTAGGATTGTTTATACTGAAATAAATAAATTTTGTTTATTTTTTATAAAAAAGATCGGCTGACTTAATTTTTTTTTTCTAAACCTCTTTTTTTTCTAAATTAAATTTTACTTTATCCACAATTATTTTGGTTATTTTCAAACAAGAGTAAAGGAAAATTAAACCTATTGAATTGTGTCGAGGATTGTATTCTTTATTCTTCTTCTTTTTTATGAATTATGATAAATAGAATAGGCGGGTCTTAGAACAATGAAGTAATATGCACGTTCGAGAAATCTACCTTAGATGACTATTATAATTTTTATTTCGCACATAGTGTCTTACAGAAAACAATTGTTCAACCCAATGACTGATTGAGAAAACATGCTGGTTTACTTATATCCTATCTCAGATACGTACTTTAGGTTAATTTTCATAAAATTTGTATTACCTTTTAAACTTTAAATACTCAAGAAAAGCCTTATATACATAAAACCTCAGCGTCTAGCGTTTTGGACCAAGCAATGTACATGTACATAAAATTTGAAATTCACTTATACTCGGGAATACATGTACATGTAAGCATTTGTCTATTCATAAACTTTATACAATAAATTAAAGGTTTGTAATTTTGATCATTAAAATTGTAGATTCGTATCAATCTGTGATTAAAAATGCATATACAATGTAAAATACAGTGACCAACCAAAGAAGAAAAAATACTTACTTGAGCTTCAAAGAGTGATGTGGGGCTTAAATGCAATAAGAATTGGATGTAGACATGGTACATTTTTGGTAAAAGAGAAATATTCAATTTGGATACACATAGTGATTAAGTACATACAAATACTAGAGTACATTAAGACATATATTTTTTGTCGATTTACTTGGGGCCGTATAACACGTCATCCTTTTGTTGTACGTGAGAATATTGAGAATCTGAATAAACATTTTAAATAAAACCTTTAGGAGCGAATCCCTTTAAAATGGACAGCCCCTGAATGTTTTACTTCAATGAATGCTGCCAGCATAAAAAGTGATGTATGGTCTTTTGGAGTGGTATTATGGGAAATATTTTCGTTTGGTATGTATATGTTCTTTAGTGTTCCTGTACAATCGTATCATATGAAAAAATATATAATATGAATTGATAATTGGTTTGTTTGTACAATATTACTGAATTAGAAAATATATATATTATATTATATTATATTTATCACTGAAACCTTCTTTAGTGTTTCATAAACTTTTCACTGTTTGTTTTGAAATGGAAAATTTAGCATAATTTAATTGCATGATTGACAGGTCATAACTATTATGTTTTAACGTCCGATTTGTTTTTTTTAATTCATTAATTAGGTGAAACTCCATACCCGGGAGTACGAAGTAGAGATGTTGTAACCCAGGTCAGAAATGGACATAGAATGAAAAGACCAGAATTCGCTAATGACTTGTAAGTCAGTCAAAAACTATTAAGCCTATAACAAACACTTTTCATCGATAGCAAAAACATTGAAAAATTATGACATTTATTAGTGCCAGTTATAAAAAAAGAACGTTTAAATTAAAACAAAACGTGCATAGTAAAAGTTCTGAAAATTACTAAATAATGAAAATTTAAACCCATTTAATTCATACCTCATGAGTTAAAGATGGAGTTTGCAATTTGTTCCGCTTCCATGATTTTTAAAGGATTATGTTTTTTTTCAATTTACAACGAGAACCAGATTACAATTGTCGACATGGGACTTGTATTGCTAATGCTAAATTCACAGAATACTTGTTTCTTTTTAATCCGCATTTTCTCTGCCTCCCGAATTATATCATTTCAATGTTGTTTTGAGCATAAAATAGCTAAAGGTTTCGTTATCTTCTTTTTTCATGCTGCTTTTATAAAGTCTTTTTTGAATGCTTTTCTTTTTTTCAAAATAGTTTTCATGACATTATGACGAGATGTTGGAACACTAAACCAAGAAGAAGACCAAGTTTTAAGGATATATCAACGGACATTGGAAAAACCTTCAATGCTGCACCTTCTGATGAATATTACTATTACCGTGAAAAGTGAAACATACCCATGGAACATTTCGACAGCGCTATTCTTAATATACAAGAACAAATGGGCTCAGTTAGATACGAACCATACTTCAAACTTTAAGTCAAAACAAATTAAATAACATTTTCAAGTAAAACTTTTGAGCAACCGTACAGCTAATCGTACAAGTAACTACATGCTATAATTATTTTTATTTTTTTTTACCATGTGTATGGAACATTATGCTCCTTTTTTTATTTCATTTTTTCGTCATCTGATATGGTATTCAAGTAAGTTTTTCTACAAAAAAATCATCTTTTTAAGGTCTTTTGTGTGATTTCATCATTTTTTGTTTGCTTCTCAACAATTTATCAAAATTGTTTTTCTAAGAACTTCATATTAAAAAGAGTTATGGTTTTTTTTTTAAAAAACGGTATTTGAAAATAATAAGTATTAAAGAAAAGGTATCTACAAAATCACATACGAAACTTTTTATGACGCTTTAAAATCTAGTTTGATCTAATAAAAGCACATGTATCACTGCTGTTTTTTTTCACTTATCAATATGGAGCCACAAATACTTTTTAGATCATTACATAAGATACCGGTAAAATGAGAATATATTTACATCCACTGAATATTTTCTTCTTAATTTCTTAAGAAAACCCATTGCGTTCATCCCTGCATAAACTACATTAGGCATATCACCTGTACAGATTTCTTGATCAGTGGTCGTTCCATCAATGAAACGTACAAAGACGTTCGCATCATTAACACAATAATTAAAATTTTTAATCCTACTTAAAATGATAATTTAAACAGAAATAAATTTAAACAATAAAATGTCTTTCTTTGTTTGTTTTTACTGGAATGAACGGTCGCAGCTATTGCAGAAAAAATTTACATAACCCGCTTACGCGGGTTATGTATTTTTTCTGCAACAGCTGCTTCCGTTCATTCCAGTAACAACAAACAAAGAAAGCATTTTATTGTTTAGATAATATTAATCCACGTTAATGTTGACCAAAATAAGAGTCAACAACAAGAAACATAAATGCTCACGGTGAAAAGTCTCTTTTCATCGCAGGTACATTTTCGAAAATTCGATTCATTTCTTTATGTCTTGAAGCTTTTGCACTTTCTTAAAAATAAGATAAATGATTTTGTCTTCTACTTATAATCTCTATTTTCTTAGTAAACTTTTTACCTTTTCAACACTTTTTTGGATGCTTAAATTCAAGGAAAGCCCATTTTTGGATTCCTCGACACCAGATTATGGACTCGGATCTGTAATTACAGATATGCAAATCATAGTCTTTTTAACCCCCATTCTTTACTAAAGAAAATGCAGCAAACACGATCCGTCTTTTCCTTAAACTTCAATATGCCAATGAAGGAATAGACGCGATTGATATAAATAACGGGTAATATTCTCAATCACAAAAGGGTCAAGTCTGTATTTCACAATATTTTAAGTTAAAAACTAATCCTTGTATTTTCTACAAATATACAATTTTTCAATTACAAAAACAAACTTTGCATGGCCTGGATATTGAGTATCTGAAACATAATCACCCAACGTGTTCATTTTCTTCTTACCCATTAAATCATAGTCCTGCTGGACACGTTATTTCAGGTGACGTGAACATAGTTAATAATGAGGACCGTAGGTCACTTTTTAAAGGTCCTAAATATAGGGAATCCCGATCCTTCAACGGACGTCAGAGAATTTCATAAATATTATTGATCCTGTTGAAGATTAAGCCAGACAGTGGGCCAGATATGAAAGAGGAAACGTTCACAATTTTTCAGAATGGATAAAATGTATTAGATCCATGTTAAAATCACGTAATAAAAAATTGAAGGGCAAAATAAAAACCATTTATATATCCTTCTGTATTTAATAATCCACAAGTTTGAAAATGATCGGTACGTACTGAAGCTGGTCCTTGCTGACAAAGCAGGTAGCAGCATTGTCTGTGTTGGTTATGCTCATTATATAAATTGTATTTTAGAAGAACTTGGATTTATTTCTACAAGTAGTAATCCTGTAATCCTTTCTTTTTTTTTAAATACTTTTTTTTTTACCAAATGATGGTATTCAGCGTGTGAAATGAAAAATTTATGAGGTTATAAAATCATTATTACAGTGTGATAAATATTCCATATGAAAAGAATCTTCTATACACATAATAAAGAATAAGCAATCAAATCTTTATATGCATACTGACATACATGTATTTTATTTGCTGCAGTATACATGTATACATTTAATAATTCTACAAATTTAATTATTTACCACTTAAGTCAGGGGGATCCGACACCCCCCCCTCCACGAAATGCGCATGGTTTACTTTTTCCCTAAGCGGGGGACACAAATTCTCTGAATTAGCTTTTCAGGTCACTGAAAAGATCTTTTCCCGTAATCATTCAGTTACCATTCAGTCGACAGAATGGAACATAAATTTCAGTGACCTTTCAGTTATCATTTATTTGTATTTTTTTATTGCATACTGTATAGCAGGTTAAAATCGCGGTCGGAAAAGATCGCGATTTGTTCAATTTTCAGCAAATCGCGGTCGTTTGAATTCGCGGAAAGGAAAAATCAGATATTTTTAAAACAGTACTTGCAAGCATTTTTCTTGAGATAGATATTGTGTAGACTGATATTTCCCGTCTTTATCTTGTGAAAGTCTCTACATGATTATCGCACATATCAGACAGACAAGGCAAGTCTTATTGTGTCGATTTTGAGCCCGATTGAATACTAAGGAAACACCGGAATGATCCCGATTTGAAATTAAAACAATACTTCGCATTCAGATTTATTTTAATTTTTGAGTCCGAATCAGAAAAATTGTACCGTATTCAAAATGTTGAACTTTTAATCATATGATTTAAATTAATTGTCTTTACCCTGTTTACTACGTAAGTGCCTTGATTAAATATAATGACTGAGTGATACGCATGGGTAAAAATAAACAAGCACGTTTTATTAGATAATTACATTGCACGTCTACTAGATGGCAAAATTAATCGTTAGCTTTAGAAATTAATTTAACAATTAATAAGTTTTTAAAACATCAACAACTACGTGTTTATAAATGATTGCTGCTTGTGTGTTTGTACGGAAAGACAAATAGATTTAAAGAAACACAGATAAAAGTAATATTTCAATTTATCCTTATGAATCTCTTGAAGAATTATTCACTGTATGTTGAATTCGCGGAATTTCTTTTTCCGCGAATATTAACTCCGCGAGTCAATTTCAATGTACAGTACTCGGCTTATATTTTATCATAAAAAATTTATTTCACTTTTTCCTGGTATAATGTCAATTAACAGTGGTAATTTCCTTTTCTACGTCGATACGATCCTGGTAAACTTGAGATTAAAGTCATAATGACAACAGATTTTCCCGTCATTTCCCGATCATGACAAGGAGCACACGGCGGGTGTGATCGGTCAGCAGGGGATGCTCACTCCTCCATGGCACCTGATCCCAACTCTGATGTTTCGGAGGTCCGTGTTTACTCTGCACCTATTTTGTTTTGTTTTTTGGGTTATGATATTGAATACTGTTCGTTATCTCCAAATCCTTCATTCAGGTGTAATAATCAAGAAGGCGTCTCCATATGAGTGAAAACTCTCGGGATGGGAGTTAAACAATATACTATCAATCAAGAGATATTAATTTTTTCTTATAGTTTTCTCTTTACTAAATCTTTGGAAGTTAGACCAATTGATTTCTTGATAATTACACCTGAATGTTAATTCCACAAGGGAAAAGGTCAGGAGCTTTTTATGCATGTCAATCTTGTAATGGAGGATTATTTAAGGAATCTCTATCTTTTGTGTTTCATTAACAACAGTTGGAAACATGGAATAATTAATTTTACATAATATGCGAGTCCTGTTTGATAAATAAATAAATCAATTATTTATATTTGAAATAGAATGCTATCTAATAGATCTCAGATACACAAGGCCTCTAACATCAACCTCAATATACTGAACAAATGCCAATTATTTAATATTATACAAATATTATTATGCTTGCTGTCTCATTGTCTCTATATAATGAATACCCTATTGTTTTCACATATTGTACAAAGGGCTTAGAGCGTAAGCGTACTATGTCGAATTAATACACGGCTTCATTTTCTGAGGAAAATCTGACAACATCCACGCCGGGAATGAAACTCACGACCCTAAGATTGTCAATCCGACGCGCTAACGATTCAGCCATGGACTCTGTTACACATAGTTTTCTTATTTATATTAACTTAGTATCAAAGATTTGATACTTTAACTCTTTACAACTAACTGAATTTTTATGCAACATACATTTAATGTTCACTTCATAAAATTACACGTATGTGTTTACCATTTCCCCGCAAGCACATTATTGCGAAATACAAGTTTTTCTAAGGTTTATAATATTATATTAATCTAATATTATATATCTTATTATATTTTAATTAGAAAAAAACTTTCTTTTTTTATGAGATATAAGCAAGTATAAATTAGAAGGAATTTGGCAATAAATTGAGGATTAAATAAACTTTTTTAAGTGCGTGAAGATGCATAATTGCGTGGAAACGGTAAATGCGTGATTTTGCGTCAGACATAGGAAATGGTATATGCGTTAATGGTATATGTGTTAAAATGCGTGACTGCAGAAAGGGGGTTCAAAGAAATAAAATTCTTGAATAGTCTCTTGCACCATTTTTTCTTCACTCATCTGAAACTATCTTACATTGGTCCTTATTACATGAAACACTCTTAATTAAGAAAAATAAAAGATATTAGACGTACCTGAAGCACAACATGACTTAAAAATGGGGGATGTACTAACATGTTTGTTAGAGGTGATAAAACATTGGAAATTCAAAATGTTTACATTTTTTTCAACAGTAAGCAAATAAATAACAAAATCTTTTTTTTTATTTTTAAAAAGTGTTGTGCTTTGCATGTTTTATGCCTAAATAACTGTCTTGATTTGACACAAAGTGCACTTGACTCCAGCCGATGAAATCTTGTGTCAAACCCTGAGTACAATTTAGGCATAGAGCATGCAAAGCATAGCACTATTATATACACTGTAAATAGATTTATATCATAATATCAAATGTATCACATAAAAATTGCATATCTTGTAAGTATAATGTTAACTTTACGCTTTTTTGTCTTAGAGTGTTCTTTTGGATAGTTATGACAATGATTGTTGGCCTTTGTAAGGTAAGTAGACAATTGAAACTATATT